CATATAAGTTCTTGACCGGATTTCTCGACAAATATTTGAGATTAAATAATTGTCAACCTATAATATAAAGTAAAAACATGTATCAGATACATATAGGCACAACAAGTTATTGAACGCACTTTCTTGGCCTCCCCTTTTCTTGTCGATTACCTTCAGTTTTATTTATTTTAGTAAATTATCTTAAAAATACCTTTCAAAGTTTTAAAAGTGATGAAATCAATCTTAAAATTAAATCGACCACAATAATATAAAGAAAAAAATAATAATTGGAAAGTCGTGTTGGTCCTGTCTACATCCCAAGCCATTTCACTAAATACATAGGCTTTGCTCCATTCACTCTAGGAGAATCCATGGGCTTTGGGCCTTCCCAGACCTTAAAAACTAAGGCTTGAATTAGTTAATAGGCCCATACAAAAGGCTAGAGGTAACCCGCAGAGATTGGGCTAATTATTTAACCTAGGGACATGTCCAACCCGGCCCAATATTAGCCATATTACTAAATACATAGGTTTGTTCCATTCACTCTAGGGGTATACATGGGCTTTGGGCCTGACTAGACCTTAAAAACTAAGAACCCGTTCTCTTTACCATTTTTACGTCGTTTTTTGTTTTAAATTTTTCAAAACAGTGAAAACGTGTTCACTTTCTTATTGTCGAAAACTCGTTATTGAAAACAAGTTAAAAAGGCTAAAGCTAAACCCTTAGAGATTGGGCTAACTTTTAACCTATGGACAAGTCCAACCCAGCCCAATATCTCTCACTTTGTGTTAGTTGCTTTAGCCCAATAAATGATTTATGACTAAAACAAGCTATTTTATTATGGGAAAAATTCATATCTAAGAATTTAGCTATGATTCGTTTCAAACTAAAAAAAAAAGGTTTACCGTTTCAAAAATAAGATATTATTAAATTTATTTATGAAATAATTAATTAAAAAATATGTTATCAATTAAATATATTGAGATCCCAAATTATTGAATTATTTTTCGTTTACAAATCAAAAACTCTTTAGGTCAAAAATTATTTTTCGATCACAGATTACAATATTTATAGGTCACAAATAAATTTTTTTATAGGTCACGGATTATTCATCGATTACGAAATCAAAATTTTTATTGGTCACAATTGATTCAACGATCACAAATTATCATATTAGATGGTCACAATTAATTTCTCAATCACAATTTAACAAATTGCGAGTAACAATCACATTTTTGTGTAATATATTATTTATTTGTCACAAATTAACCATTGGTCACAAACAGCCAGTCCTATCCCACAAACACCAAACCGCTGCCACGACCACCACTACTGTCTCACCAGACCGTGCAAAACCTCCACTACACACCGACAGTGATGTGAGGCTGAACGGTGGTGGCACAACTCAGCAATGGTGCGAGATTGAGTGGTGGCGGCACAATGTGGCGGTGGAGGTGTGAGGCTGGGTAGTGGGGATTGGTGCGATGTTGTTTCACACAACACGATTGTTTTGCGAGGCTCAGTAGTGGCGGCACAACGTTGCGATGATTCATGAAGAAGAATGAAAAAAGGGAGAATAGGGTGGAATGATTTTAGGATATGGGAAGTAGTTGAATTGGGGTTATGTGGGTGGGTGCGGTGGATTAGTTTAATTTTATATTATTATTACTTAAAATTTTAATTTTATCTAATGTTTTAAAGAAAAACTTGTAACTCTTAATTATGAATTGAGAACTTAAAATCACTAAGGGTCTGTTATCTTTGTTATTTTCAGACTATTTTCAGTTTTCAATTTTCGAAAATACTGAAAATACATTTACTTATCTATTTTCAGAAACAAATTTCAAAAAACGAGTTTAAAATTTACAAAGAAAATATAAAACGTCAAAAAAGTCATTTTGGCTGTTTTCAGTTAAAACCAAGTCAAAACTTCATTTTTTTTATTTTTGAAAATAATTTTTCAAAATGACAAAAAGAACGCGTTTTCAACAATTTCAAAATGAACACTCAAAACACAAAATCAAAAATGAATTCAAAACTCAAAATTGAAGTACGAAGAGAACAGCCCCTTAATTTCTATAATTTTCACTTTTATTATTTTCGGTGTAAATTGAAGTTGATTGCGTTGAACATGTCAAGACGAGAAAATTGAAAAAAAAAACAAACTAGCTCCTATTCGAGCCTCATTATCCGAAAATTTATTTACTTTCAAACTCGTTTTTAATCACATTTTATCACGTAAACTTAAGATTTTTCCCTACTTTTTAACTACATTTTTTCTAAAAGTTCACTATTATAAAACTCATTTTATTTTGTATTTTTGAAAAAAATGGGGTTCAAACAAGGGCGAAGGTCGTCTTTCATGGCAATAATTAAATATCAATCTGACCAACCTCACCTGACATATTTTGTCCTTATGTAGTTTAGATTATAATAAAAAAAAATAAAAAATTATTATATATATACACTAGCGTGCATCGTGCGTTGCACGATGATCGTTATAATTATCTAAGAAACGTTATCAGGAGAATTATTGATTTGTTTCAATTTTTTTTTAATGAAACAAGCCAGATGAAGGACAAATATAAAATGGGAGAAAACAAGGACATTTAGATTGTCATGCTGTTACCCTGAAGGAGAAGCCGGAACAACCGAGAAGAGAGCCGAACTCAGTATGAAAATATATTGTCTTTTGGAAAACATTGCGTAATAAGTTGTCAAGCCATTTGATTGAAAAGCTGAAGTAGTTACCAATGTGTGCCCTAATATCACGTTAGATGATTCGGACAAGAGTAATTAAACCTGAATCATGATAGTCAACATATTTAGCAGGCAACAGAAGATGTCTTATACATTTCCAAAACAAAATACAGAGACTTTCATCCCAGTTCATTACAGAAATCTAGCCTACAACACTAAGCTGGAATTCATGAAGGCATGAAATCAGCAACAAGTTCCAAGAAGAAATATTTTCTTCTTCAAAAGGGTTGCTGGTAGGCTACTTCAGAAGTGATTTCTGTCCTCAACAAAACATCAAAATTATTAGAGGCACCTTGATTTCTTACTTGAACTGGTGAAAGTCATCAACATTTACTGTTCGACTGGATCCAGATTGATGCTAGGGGAATCTCCAGTAGTTTCTTCAACAGTTGATGCTATTGTTTTCTGTTTCTTCTGCTGTTCAATGCTATCTCCTTCAAACACTAAATTCCTTCGAGCAGTAGGTGCATTGGTGTGAAGTAAGGTATTCTTTGTGTTTGGTATATATGGAGATGTCAATGGAGATCCCTTCGTAGGTCCAAAGTTGTTACCCAAAATGTATATGACATCGAATCTTGGTTGGTTTGTTTTGGGGTCGACTGTTCCATGCTTCATATAAATGAAACGATCTTCGCTTGGACAGGTCGACTCATGAGAATTGATGACATCTTCGGACTGAAAATAAATGAATGAAGGTACCATCAATATATTTAAGTATATGAATGTGTTAAGCATGAAATGTTGACAAGTGTAATCATAAGGAATACTTCACCGATACACAATCCTTCATCAATGTTTCAGCTGATAGCTGCAGAAGTTTTTCAGCCACTTCACCAAATAATGACGCAGAGATAGACCCTGTATTATCTACAATGTGAACATTGTAGCGTGCTCTGGAAAGGAAAAAGAAGCTAAATAAGTGTCATGGGAAATGCAACCTTACTGGTAATTATATATTCTATACAGATAAGTATGGTGTTGATGCAAATGATGCGAAAGTAGAAGGTAATACCTTGGAACTGCTTGTGCATGCATGTATTTACAGTAATTGCAGAAGTACATTTCATTGAAGTGAGCAAATGACATCCAACTACAAGTGTCACAAGCCATATACCAAAGCGATTGAGCTCTTGTCATCAATTGTAATTGACCTTGTATCCAGAAAGGTTTGCGTTGCAATAACAATTTATTAGTTGGCAGGTAAGGGAAAGAATTGTAGAGAAAAATTGTAATGGTTTTCAATTTACCGTCAGTGAGAGGTCCGAAATGTCTTTCACGTTGATGAGTTTGTTTTTCGGAGGTGGTAAAATAATAGATGTGTCTGGCAGATCGTACGTCTTCTGAGTGATGATGTCTGTGAGTAAGTCTTTGTTTCTTTGAATCCTTGTATAGTATGGAAATGATGTTAAAAGATATGTAGTATTTATGAAAGAAATATGCAAACTAATTTGAGGACGACTTAGTTTTTAGTGAAACATCAAATGGGAAATTCATGAGAAATGCAGAAACAGTGTACTGACCATTTTCTAAGTTCAGCAAGTTTTTCAAATTTAGGATTAATAAGGATTGAACTGTTTGCTTTAGTCGACAATCATATCACCGTGAAGGAAAAAAGCATATATGTAATGAAGTTAGATATTCTCTACTGTAAAAACTCTTGGGAAGGATGATTAAATTGAGACTTTGTTTACCTTTGAATGATGTGACTTTCAAATGGTTTCCAAAAATTATTGGTTTTTTCATAAGGCAATCACTGATTTCAGTACCTTCATGGTCAATGAAGCTGTCCCATATAGTCAAAATAATTGCTTGCAGTCTGCACATGGAGATAGCAAATTTCAGATTAATTGTCATAACAGATGAAGTATGTTTTGTGCGTAAAGATTAATATGTATTCATACATAACTTTCATTCACAACGACGATATCTTGGACAGTAGTTTCTGCGTTGTTGTTGTTTGGAATCTTTCGTTTTGGCCTAATGTCAACAGCAACGCCAACAAATGCTACGAAGGGAAATAGGGAAGGAAATGTACAAAAAGTAGTAGTTAGAAACTATAACATGTGGGGAGATGCAAAAAAATAACTAAACTCACAGGAACTATTACCTATTTCGACATCAGCATCTATGTAGTTTTGAAGTTCATCGAATGGAGTAAACTGGAAGCATGACTCTACAAGAGGGCTATGGTCTTCATTTGATTCTTCAATTCGAGTTGAACCACTGATTGTCCATTGTATATGTCCACAAGTTGTTCTGAATCATTCATCTGTGCTTTTGACATATGCGTTCAAAATCAGGTATGTCCTTGATGGCACCAAGGTGCTTTCCAGAGCTTTGATATTCTGACCAAATATTGTTGCTTGGACTTTGTTTTCCTACATTAAAGAAGATATCAAAAATTAATCAATGAAACCTTTTTTTTTCTACCATAAATGATAGAACAGTGAACATTAATAGACAAATATATAGATGTGCAAAGAGTCTGAACATATTACTACAGTATCCATCAACCAAAGGTGCTGATATGTTCCATTTCCCTTCTGTGATGTTCTTGAACTTGTTTTTTCTACCACCACAACTTTACATGTCCATCCCAGTTCTCTTGGAGCAATATCAGGAATTAGTTTCAGTTTGACCGCCATTTTTATTGCAGGAAGGCAACTACAGTTGGAAGAAGCATCCAACATTGGTTATTAATAATGTCAAACACAAGTAAGCTAATGAAAGTAGAGGAAGAACCATTCAACTTATCTTCTGGTCGTAGTCTTTCTTGGCTTTTCTGGTGTATGTATGTTGCAGGCAATAACATGTGTATATCCCTATTATATATATAAAGATATAGGGCATGCATGTGCAGAGATAAGGTGGCAGAGTTGGTAGCTAGACAGAGAAGTGGTATGGTGAATGTAAAAGTCAGATTGACTGCAGACAGAGACCATACTGTCCTTTTGTTCACAGTAAATAAAGTACACTGATGATTTATATATTTTGCTTCTATAATACACAATCAGAATCATCAGAATGAAAGCACAACACGTGAGGTAAGTAATTATTGTTAAAATCAACAAGAGGTAAGTAATTGAAGGAAACAAATAATTTTTATCTACACGAAATAAAATCTGTAATAAATCGAAAATGATTAAAAATCCAAACAAGCAAGGTATGAATGAAACAAATGTACAGTGAGGCATTTTATCCATGAAGTAAGCAATGGAAACAGTAGAGCAGCTAATTGCAAAAATAACAGCCATTTATGCAATAAATGTCAAAGATTGATAGTAAGCAACGATATGCAGATCGTAATCGTATAGGTCCAACTTCCAAGTAGCCACAAAGTTGTAGAGAAAGCTTATTCTTGTTGCATCAAAGGAAAAAATCAGCAGTTTAATTACGAGATGATTTGTAAAATAGTGCAAAACGCGCAACACATCGAAGTCAAAACATATATAATCAAAAAAGAGTGAAGTAGTTGTTTAGCAAGTATATTCTGACCTAACAACCCATTCACATCATGCAAATTATAACTTCGAAGTAGGCAAAACATTGGAAAGGGGAGGAAAAAATTGACAAACTTCAATTGTTGCACCGAAAGTAGTACAATTCAAGGAAGTAAAACTTTGGCATTTGAAACTCAAAAGAGAGCAGCCTGAAGCGAAGAAACGAAGTTCACAAGCTCTAATGAGAAGGAAATGCGAACTTAGCTACACAGTAAGTTGAAAGGATGAAGAAGGATGCATATTTTTTAAATTCCTCTTGGCACAACAGGAAGACATGCATGAAATGTGCATAAAAAAGAGTTGAGGGAAGCAAAAAGCTCCAAGAACATGTGTACCTTGAACCATAGCACAAAAAGATGGGAAAGATTTACCAACTTCAATGGCTGTTTTTCTGCATGACCATGGCGATTGAAGATGCCCCTGGAGATGGAAATAGCACATTTTTTTTCCCTCAGACGATGACTGAGAAAGCAATGTCAACAAAAGAATGTAAGTTGCCAATCAAAACATTTGGAATAGTTTGTCATGTTATAAGGTGATGTTGAAGGCTTTAGGTTTAAAACCTTCTAATAGAAATAGCTGCAATTCTTTAAAGAACATCTTCCACAAAAGAAACTTAACTAAACGGAATTAGTACCAAATGACATTTGGCTGTGAAAATGTCATAAAAATAAAGGCTTGAAAACATGAACCTAGAGCAGAAGAAGAAGCATGTCGAGGAAGGATTCTCCAAAATCAAGAATGTCCTAGAAGCCATATAAAACACTCTCAATCGCATAACTTCAGACATAGGGCAACTCAAACACTGGGATACAAATGATAAGACATGAGAAGGAATAATAATTATGAACAATCTTGCTTTCATATAGAGACAATTGAAGAGGTCAGCATAAAAGGTGTTGACATGATATTGTTTTCACCCTATTTAAGTCGTCAATCGTTTTAATTGTATGTCTTGACTTAGAATAAAATTTTTAACCATTTGAAAGTCAAACAGCTTCAGGAAAAGAAAAACATTTGACAAACGTTACTTAAAAGTGACTCTTACGCTTAGCCAAACAATACTTACGTGAGGATGAAAGCTGAGGCATATTTTTTAATTCCTCTCCCTCCGTGTCGAAGAAAAATCCATTCATTTCGAGCGGAAGACAACAAAGAATCCAAGTTTAACACTTCCAAACAGTAACCAATCCATGAAGAAGTAGAACAGAATTTTGGAAACTGAAAAGGGCTGTAAGACTTACATTCGGTTAATATTTTGGGCATCGCAATATTGGCGAGCTATCGCTGGATAAGATACTGAACACTTCAGTTGAAATTGTACAAGGAGAAAAAATAATGTCGCCTGGAAAAAGGATCAAACCTCTGTTAGGGTAGCCCGAACCGAAAATGAGTTTTCAAACAGTAAAATTCGTAAGACAATAAGTGCGTAGTGGGGGGAGACACAGGAAGAAGCAAATAATTGAGGCAATGGGAAAAGTCAGGAAGAGAAGCCACAGATTCAGAATCCTCACCTCTCTGGCCATTGCCATAGCTCCAAATGCATTAAATGGAAGCGTTGTTTGAGCCTTGTATGGACCAACCTCCAGTTAAAGAACAAATAACTTAGCATCAAACTACCGAAGGAGTCCCAGGAGTCCCCAAAAGGGACGTTCATGGTATCATAAAAGGGTATCTCGAAACTTACTTCCAGAGTTTCTCCATAGAAGAGCTCATGTTGTCCATTCACCTTAATTTCAAGAGGAGCAGCACAGGTTTTCTTTCTGCTGGGGTCAATAACAGGACTTCAGGATCTCCTGTTTGGAATACGAAGCCATCCGCAACACAAGGAAAAACAGGAGTATCTATAAGTTCGAATAAATTATAATAGGCAAAAAAAGGGTAAACCATCAACACATTCGGAAATCCCTTGGAAGAATTCATTTGCTAACGTAATCCACATGGCAGGTCATTCATAAAAGAAAAGGCTTCAATTCAAGATTTATATTATTGTAGTCTTTTTTTTCAAATATCATTTGAGTAGGTGTCCTAGCTACAAATCCAGTTTAAATGAGTCAGCATTTGAAGAATGACAGGTAAAATTTACGTGCAAAAAGTACTTTCATTCTGAACTCAAGAATGATAAACTTATCTGTAAAGGAAGTAAAGTTTTCTGCTCTCATATTTACTTTGAAGGAAAGTAAATGTGTCTCAATGGACTCAGATGAATGTTTTTGAAGCGGCTTCAAATACTCCGTAGCTTCCATCAAAGGATCTTCAACCTACAATTTAAACTCACACGTCAAACACGAACTCAGCTGTTCTCCCAAAATCATTCCAATTCTGAGCAAAGATTAGCGACAATACCAAAGAAGGCACTCAAAATTGCATTTAAGTAGTCCCTCATTTTCCAAAGAATGTTACAATTGGTCATTTCACTTCAAATTATTTTATATCCCCTAGGACATGGATAAAAGACAGTAAAATATTGACCAGTACAAGAAACAACTTCCACCACTACCATTGGCAGCATCTGTAAGATAAATAACTAAATATAATAAAATATATCGCTAAAAATAGTATATTGTAGCCGAAGACAACACTGTTGTTCATTCAAATGGACATTCTATGAGACAAAATTCAAATGAATATGCACTACACCCATCTGATAGAAGATTTGCATTACCGTTGAAGGAAAAATTTACATTTGAATAACCAGTCAACAGACAAAATCATCATTCTAAACTTCATATGGATTCTAACCAATTTTTTAAGAATTAGTAGATATAAAAGTAACTACATGCATAAGCGTTATATATAACATATTTAGGAGACAAACAAGCTTAAAAATAACGTTTGTAGGAGGGAAGGATCATCTATACATTTCAAAACCATCACAGACTTCATCATAGGGAAGTTAGGATTATAAAGCTTCTTATATATTTGTTCCTAAAATTAAAATTCATGGAAGAGGTTTTATGCAAAAGTAGGAAGTAGGCAGAATAAAACCAATTCATTTTTTTTTTAGGTTTGCTCCGTTTCTTGTTCTACAGCTTTATACATAACGAACACTACAAACCTAAAACCATTTTAAGTGCATGTTGGCAGTCATTATCAAATAAAACAATAACATGTTCCCTCAGGATTCCATCCGCTTTAGTCAGATGCTAACACTTCCAAAGATACCAGTACACAAATAGCATATTCAGTAAAAGCTAACCTGAACAGAAATATCAAATTGAGACAATGATTGCAGCAGCGTTTAAAGTTTTATTGATGTTCTCATGAGCTTTCCGAATAGCATGTGTCCTCATCTGTAGAAGGAACATTTGAGTAAGAATCACAAAATGCTAAGGAGAGGCAAATGCAAGCAAGCAAATATCATAAGTTGAAGGTTTCCAATTTCTCAATAAATAAAAAGATCAAAATTAATATCAAATATGATTTTGTAGAAATGTTCAATACAAACCATGAAAATTGTTGCAGAGAAAAGAAAAATTCAAATTTGGAAACATAATAAATACACTCCACATTTCACCAGTGGATTATAATTTATCAAAGGAAAACAGAAGTAAAGTGGTGTAAAATGCCAAGGAGAGGCAACTGCCGATAATGGAATCCAAGTATGAAGAAATGAAAATGAGCTACAATCAAGACTTGATGAACTACAAGGATTCAGATCACAAGTTTTATCTACAGTATGTGTAACATGGTATATGTGTCTATTGTTTTAGAGAAATGGTTAAGAGAATTGAAATGAGGGTTTTCTTTCCTGAATTTCGTAGGCGACCTGAACGGTTCTACTGCAAATCCAGGTTTGAGCACTGGAGTGGGTTGGTATATTCTTGGCCAAGATCAACAACTCATAGGCTTATACACCATTTCTGCATTGCAGGGTGAGCCAGTCATATGGCAAAGTATTATCATAATGCCAAATAATTTGTAAATTCAATATTCCGGTTGCTTGTAATTGGATTACTTAGTTTACGTTTTTGACTTTCTTTTCAGATTAACTCTTCCTGAAGTTCTTAGATTTTTTTTCTTCTTCTTATTTCATTCAATTTCAGCTTTCCAAGTAAGTCAGAGGCTTGGTTTTGGGACAATCAACTATATGATGTTTATATAGCCTTAATGGCTTTAATATCATATAAGCTTAAGCTTCCTTAATCCATTTGGACAGAGCATTATTCAAATGGATACTTCTACGGGAATACACTTGTATGGTCAGAACGGTGTAGCCATTGGCAGCCACTATCCTTGGTTCCTGTGTTGTTGGCTCACTCACCTCAACAAGTTGCTGATTACTCAAGTTCAGGTGATGGCACATTTTTCCCAAATAATTTCACTAATAATGACTCTTTAACACATGTTTCCAAAGATTCAATTTCTTCTAAAAAAATTTCTCTCAGCCCTCATCGCCTCTAAAACATAATTCAAATATTATTCAAATTCCTGAAACATAATCAAAACTATCAACTACACAAAGTGAAGGAATTGATTAAAACGAAGTAAAATAACACCCACCTGGAAGGAAGTCGAGGAGAAGGCAACGAGGAAGGTAGCGGCGGCCCGAAGGAAAGCCCCGCAAGCAATTACATGAGCCCAGTTGTGCCTTGTTGTTGATGTTTGAGAGGCGCTGACGGAGCTAGGGCTTTCTTCTGCTCGATCTTTTTCGAAAAGCTGCGACGAGCCCTTCATCCAACCAAAAAACCATGGTTTTTAGGAATAATAAACAGAAATGCATGTAAAACGAAAAATCTGAAGAGCTAAACAAGAAACGAAAAGAAAAGACGAATGAAATATAGTAAGGAATGAAGGAAAACAGAACCTCTGTTATTTTACACCGTCGTACTGCACCTGAAATGGAGAACCTGTTGGGGTTTCAAAAGAAACTCAGAAGTCGCGAGAGATAGAGAAAAGTATCTAGATCGAGAGAAAATGGGAGGAAAGGAAGCAGGAAAACCTGTTAAAATGGAGGAAATGCGTGAGATCTGCTAGGGTTTCAAGATCTACTTGTTGAAATAGAGGGAATGCGACGGATTTGCTCCGGTGTCAAGATCTGCTAGGGTTCCAAGAGCACGAGAATGGCGTAGAGAGAGAGAGTGAGAGAAAAAGAAGCATCTAGATGGTCGACGAAATGAAGGGCAATAAGGCCAAACGCGTGGGATAACATTTGGTGGAGTCTGACGTCGGCTCCAAAACGACGTCGTTTCACCACCTTCGCAAAACGGCATCGTATTGGACGAAAGTGAAGGACGGATTCACTCTTATATATTTGTAGGGATATGCCGTTAAAAGCTGGTGAAATCAAAAAAATATATGTGATTAAAATTAACTATTGATTTTAACTTAGGGTGTGTTTGTCTCTCATTAATAGGAGAAAAATAGAGTAATGAATAGTATTTTTTGGAAAATGTATGGTTGAAAATTAAAGTAACTTTATTAGTTTGTGTGTAGAATATTTTATTGGGTGAATGTGTGGTGGAGAATCTTACTGTACCAAATAATTTTTTGAAATAATGGTAGACATTGGCTTAATTTTAATCAAATTTTTCACACACGAGACGGTCACGCACCTAGTTTCACAAAACCGGCGGTTTTGAGGAGAGCATAGACATGGACCGTTGAATAAAATAATGAAGTTAATTAATCCATACAAAAACAATTCAATTAAGCAAACTACTATATATTATTTTCAGTAACATGTAAACCATAGGAAAGGGCCAAAAAATATAAAAGCAGCACTCCACCAGCACAACATAAAGCTACTTATTATATTAAAGATATAAATTATTTTAAACCTATACAATTCACTAAATTGAGTTTTATTCTCGATAAAATAATTAGATTTTTAACTATTGAGAGAAGCTATGATATGAATAATTTTTTGAACCATGCTATATTTACAACTGTATTTGACAGCACTCTCACATGGGGGTGGGACCCACAATCGAGAATCCCACCCCCCAAGTGAGGGGACCGTAAAAAAAACTGTCAAATAAAACTGTACATTCAGTTTATTGTAATTTTTTCTCATTCCCTTCATTTCATCGTTAAATTTACTGAGAATATGAAGTAACTAGATTTTTGACAATAAAAACGACGTGGGAAAGATTATATTAATTCAAAACAATTAAAATAAATATTATTTTTCTTCTTTGCCATCTGTTTGTGTCTGTTAAGGGCAAAGATATTCTGCATTGCATGCTTTGATAAATTTATTTGCTTGCTATATGTTGTAATGACTACATGACAAGGCCACCGCCAAAAATTAATGTGTTGGAATAATTAATATTAAGATAATTTTAATTCAAGGGAGATTCAAAAACAAATTAGTATGGATAAGGTCATAAGATTATAAGGGCTTGTTTGGAAAGGCTTTTAAGAAATTAAAGACTTTTCATGATATTAAGAATTCGCTTACTTTTTTTAAAATAATTTGTCTGACTAGAATAACTTTTAGAATAATGCTACTTGCAGTCGCTCACTGCAACAGTCGTCCTATGTGATACACACTTGACATGTGTGTGCTACATATGGCAACTGTTGCAGTGAGCGACTGCAAGTAACATTACTCTAACTTTTATAGGAAATTGATGTGAAATTATTCTACAAAAAATAGAAGCAACTATACATTTTTTAATAAAATAATATTATACATAAACCCAATTTTTTTCTTAATTTTTAACCACGCATTCTCGATTAATTTACTATTTCAAATGTATTCTTTAATAAAAATGGGGATCAAACACGCTCTTAGTTTTGGAATATATTTTAGTATTTGTTATTTCAATTATAACTTTTCCAAGAATTTATAATTTACTTTGTAGATAATACTAAACAATTGATATGAGGAAAGAAGAAAACAAGAAATCAAACAAATATTTTATATACGGAAAAACAGTTCAGAGGTAAGCTTCCTTTGTCTTCGCATGAATTTTTGGATACATACGTAAGATTCAATGAATGTGGTTTGCCCTTCTTTTCTTATTTTTTTAGATCATATAAAAATATTTTCATAAAAAGTACCTTAGTATAGGACGAAATTGAATTAAATTTTTTTATTTAAATTAACCATCATTAAATTTATTTTTGTCAAGTAGTTCAATTCATTGCCAGATTTAGTACGCAATATTTATCTAAATTTTACTAGTTTTCAACCTAGCCGAGCCCTCTTTATTTATCGGATCGGCGTAAATTTCTTCTTTAGGTAAATTGATATAATACAGTATTAAAACTTTCGATTGATAAAAAATTTATCTCGACAAATACGACATGGGGCGAGATTAAACTAAAATCTTGGTAATAATTTTTTACTATTTTTTTTCAATTTAAGCTTCTATTAGAGTATGATTTAACGTTGAGGAAGAGAAAAAAAAAAAGTCAGTTTTGATTGTTTAATATTGAGTTATTTAATGAAGAAAAGATGAGACAGCAACCAGATTTTGATATTTATGATAGAATCATAGGGAACATAAGCAATTTTTTTTTGTACCTGTAACCAATTTTGTCACTTTCTATCTTAGCAAAAACGAGAAGAAAAATAAATAGAATTTAATAAAACTCAAAATATTTTATTTGGAAAATCATGCGTAAACTCGCGTTGTTGCAAGCTGTCCAGAATGTGGTGCCATTCCAGATAATTCTGTGAGTCGTTGGAATGGGATTATACGTTGTAGAAACTCTTCGAGATTCAGCTGATTCCAAATGTGAAATTTACTAAAACGGAGTAAAATGCCATTTTTTTGTTTAATTGATATCTAATTATTATTGAAAGCCAAAGTAATTTAATATATTAAAAAAAGGTAATTTAAATTAGTTGAGCAATTTGGTAAAGTGGATTAGGTATAGAAATACAAATGAGACTTTAAGTAGTAAGTACACTATTAATTTTGAAGACAATTAAAGATATGAGGCTTTAATTTTGATCCACTTATGACTCAGACTAGTTTTAGGAAGAGCTATGTGTTGGGTTGGGCAACCTTTTTTCACGAGCCTCGTTTTTTTGACTTATTTTATTAATTTCTTTTGAAAAAATATGAGCATGTTCGTGGGCTCGTGAACTGTTCAACTTGACCAATGAGTCCCGTGTGCAAAAGCTAGAATCGAGCTTAATTTATGAATATAAGTCGATCTCAAGTATCTAAGGTCATTGTCGAAGATATACAATTCCACACGTGAATTCCAAATAAATAAATATTAGAAATTCAAATGATATATTTTGCTTGTAGGATTATCCAAAGTATATTGTATATAATTTTAGAATTTTTTAATACTTTTTAAGCCCCTGTTTGATGGTTATTTTTTCACAAAAATAATATTTTGAATAGTGATTTTTAGGAGAATGTATGATTAAAAAGTATGAAAAATTTGGATTTACGTGCAGAATATTTTATTGTGTAAATATGTGGTTTTAAATGAATATGTAGAAAAAAATTTCAAATAATGATTATCAAACATAGGCTAAGTGTCCTGCTGGGTTATTAGTCGCTTTCATTCTTGATCACTCTTCGAATAAGAAGAAATTTTGAGTGTGGAAAATATATCCCTTGTTTCAACATCATTTTTTCAAAACTCATTTTCAATTACACATTCTTCAATAAAATAATTTTACACGTGAATTGATTTTTTTTTTTTAACCACACATTCTAAAAAAATTACTATTTCAAAATACATTTTTAACTCAAAATGGGTCTCAAACAAGGGCAGTCACATATTAGTCCCCAAATTATAGTTTCATTTCCTACTCTGAGAGAAAAGGAAGTAATGAATATTTCAATCGTTCTTAACTTATGCCTCAATACTTAAAGACTTCAATACTTTAATCACCTACCCTTTGTTGTTATTTCTCTTTCTATCAAAGAATAATACGAACATTGATTCATGCGTGATAACTTTGGATCGAAAACATTTGATCAATTTCAACAAGTTTTGCTTTTGAGTTGAAAACTTGTTCAAATTGGATCATTTTCATTTACACACACATACATACACACACATTCAACCTTGTATAACATTATTGGAAATGTTCTCCTGCCTACGGCAGGCAGAATAAGATTGTCCACCTGCTGATGTGGCGGAGAACCCAACGTTGGGTTCTCTCCAAATGTGAGAACCCAACGTTGACTTCCCTCCAAGTGAGCATTATAAGACTTTCCACCGTGAGCATGAGAACAGACCTGATAACATTATTTAGAGCATGTTTGACACGACTTTTGTTTTTACAAAAATATGTAAAAAAAGAGTTTTTAAATAGTAGTTGTCAAACAGGAGCGTATGCTGCTGGGTTATTAATCACTTTCATTCTTGATCACTCTTCGAAGAAGAATAAATTTTGAATTTGGAAAATATATTCACATATCAGTCCCCAAATTATATTTTATTTCCTACTCCAGGAGAAAAGGAAGTAACGAATATTTCGATCGCGCTTATCTTAAAATTCAAGAAAGAAAAGAGACTTCAATATTCAATTGCCTACCCTTTTTGTTATTTCTCTTTCTATCAAAGAATCATACGACCAATTGATTCCTGGATGATAAATTCGGATCGAAAACATTTGATCAATTCCAACAAGTTTTGCTTTTGAATTGAAAACTTGCTCAAATTGGATAATATTATTTAGAGCATATTTGGCATGCCTTCTGTTTTAATTATTGTTTTTTTTGTAGAAAGGATTCCCTATGAAGCTATTTTATGTCAACTTCCTCTAAAACTTTTGTAACCAAACAATACACTTCTAAAAAACTATTTAAACATATTCAAAAAAAACTTATGAAATTGTTTTTTACTTTTTAAAAGTCCTGCTAAATGGGTCTTTAATCATGTATTTATTATTGTATTAATTCCCCGAATTATCTCTAAAATGAATTATTATTTTCGTTTCTTTTCATATGCACAAAAAGAGATTAATAAAGCCCAAGAAGAGATTGCTTGATTTGATCGGTCCAATCAAATTGAACATTATCGATACTCAATCATCTAACGTATAACTCCCTCTACTGCATATCACGTAATTTATAGATATAACAAATATTTACACGTTTCAACAAATGATTCAGATGCTCGATACGGAATTCATTAAAGAAAGGCTTAGCTTCTTGTCGATTGTTACTTTGAGAAATATACTTATCGGTTATGATTTTATTACTTGACTGATTAGCCTTTTCTTTCCCCAATTATGCTATCAGAAGCGATTGCAGAGGTAATGAATCCTTCATATTTTTTGTGAACTAATCATTTTTTTAATGATGGCTATCTCTATAAGATCTTCTACATGGACAAGACCTTTCCATAGAATATATGATTTCATCTCTCAATAATTAATTGAGTCACTAATAATCTTTGTATGATTCATGAATCTTTTGTTTGATGACATTGTTTTGATGAATTCAACGTATGTTACTCGAAAGAAATCATGGATCTAACAAAGATTTCCTTCGAGACTCGATTTTTGTTTCGCAGCAAACTTGACTTGGATGTCGAGTTCACCAAACGCAGAACAAAATAAGAGAGTACTTATAAACGAACTTCCAAGAACGAAGTCTTTTGCATATTATGCAAAGGAAACTTTAGTTGAAAAGAAAATATTGTAGGCTATATAAAATAGTAAAATTAAAATAGATTAAGATCATGTTTGAAGCTATAGGCCGGTGTATAGGCTCTAGAAGTTAGTGCATAAGTATTATAAATGAAAAAATAATTAAGTCTTTTTGACATGGTTTTTAAGAAATTAAAATGAATTATTGATATTCGAAAGTTGTTTTTGAATCTATTTAATTAATTTTGTCCCTGTTTGATAATCATTCTTTTAAAACTCTTTTTTTTATCATACTTATTTTCAACTACACATTAAAATATTCTTCATGTTAACTCAAAATTTTCACCTACTTTTAAACCACACGTTTTTAAAATAAAAATACTATTCAAAAACTCATTCTTTCCAGAAAATAGCTGTCGAATGGGGTATCTCATATAAATTTAATGATCTTAAGTTTACTTTATTTGCAAGTGAGTCCTCTGAACATGCAAAGGAAATAACGAAATAAGGTCTTCATTGCAAATATAGGAAACATAAGGGACTACGTTGTTATTTCCTTTAAAATGTAAATCCGACCAAATCCGATTAAACCGGGTTGAATTAATGCAACGATTGACCGAAACCAAAACATATCAGGAAAGAAAAAAATAGGGAAATTTTAGAAAAAGCCATCGAACTTTCTTTTCAACTACAAAAAGGCACCAACTTATTCGAAATTGCCAAATTTAGCCTATCAGGACATGTTTTAGCTAACTTCCGTTCCAATGGGATATTGTGATAATTGAAGTACGTAGTATAAAAATTCCCTTGAACTTGAAATTTTAATTGAATAACAGATAACATAAGTATATAAAAATATTTATTATTGTAATTTTCTAATTATCGAATCAAATTCATTATCGAATTGTACTCACGTCTCACCAGAATATGGAGGTAGTTATGACATAGTTAGCCAACCCAGTATTTTACAATAAAGTGATATAAAGAGCTGCAATGAAATAACTTATCAATAGATCTTCATCGCACATCATGGGATCAAATAAAGACTTTGTATTTCTACCAAGTTGGTACTACATCTATTTCATTAGTAGTTGACAATGTTTTGACAATATCTTCTTCTCGGCGATGGCTAGTTCGAGATGTTGAACAACAAATTTTATTTTATTTTGAAAAATACAATAATTGCGAAAATAAAATTCTCCTTCCACACTTTCGGAGCAATTCTCAAATTATGTACGTCAATAGAAGGAATTTATGGAAATAAGGACCAAATTAACCATTTTAAAAAGATGAAGGGCTTCTTTAAACTTTTTCCAACAAGTAAGTGCAAAAGGGTTCATATTATAAGCATTTCATGTGAGCCTAGCACAAAAAAATAATTGAAAATTAACCGTCTAATAATTTACTTAAAATTTTATTTAATTATTCTTTGACTTTAACGGACAACTTCTGTTGACTCAATCATTATTAATTATAATACCATCCTTTAATTTACAGGCAAACGGAGAATTGAGAAAAAAAGTAAAAGAATGTGAAATTCGAGGACAAAAAACAATTGTTTGAGTAAATTATGAACAAAAGAGACAAAATATCTCGAAATTTTCAAAGTTAATTCTTTTCATTTTGGGGACGTAAGCCTGACGTAAGTTATGATCTCATTAATTTTGTAATTGCTTTTAATTATAATTTAAATAAATGGAGAAACGATTTTTTAATAAATTTTATAGCATTGCAACAATACATATTGGTGGTGTTAAAACTTTCCGAGAAATGCTATGTGTACACTCTAAAGTGTACATCGTGGTTGACGGTGGTTTTGTTTTTGAAAAATTGTTGGAGGGAAAACTACTTTGTTTTGACAATTCGACCACGACAAACTGTCAAATTTTGGCATACATTGAAACTTTCCAAAGCATGTAAAATTATCATGCCCTAATTAAAATTTAAGTCAAATTCAACTATTAATTTTAACATTTTATGGGTTTTACAATTTTTCAATTACACGTTAATCAACTTTTATCAAAATTTATTAAAAAATCTGATTTTTATCCAAACCAAATACAAGCACATAGGATAAGATTTTTTTTTTTTAAAATTATCAAATGTACAAATAAAATACGATGTCGACTAGTTAGCAAAAAATGGCCGTAGAAACATTATTCTCATTTTCACCAAGAATGTCTTACATTATAAAGGTGCATGAAAGTTGTTGTCAAGACTTTGCACTAGAAAACGTGCAACTACTTCTCTAGCCCAACAAAGAAGAATTGAACCCAACATACACACCTCTTGGAATCTTGTATAGATACACATGAAAAAGTGATTCTGGGTGAGTGTAGGGGTTATATTTGTTCGCAAGAATGGATTTCTCGTCAAGTAAATTTTGGGGGTTCAAAGATTTTTGTGCAAATCACGATAACAAATACAAGGGATAAATATATATATACGCCTGCTCAAGAATGGATTAAACTAGTAAGCTAGTGAAGGTAAGGATAATCGTCTAGAGCTTATTGTGAGAAAAGACACCTACCACAATAAGCATGTTGCTTCGTCTAAAGAGAAATCTTGCCGATAAGACTATAAAATAAGTTGTTAAAATGAAAATGAAAGGGGAGGATGACTTGTTTAGTAGGCTTTCGGAGAAAGACTATTAGCAATAGGTTTAAAGCCACCTAAACTGTGTTTCCATCCCCACTGGAGATGAATAATATTACTCTTTATAAATTGGTTGCCAAACATAGACTCATATAATTTATATTTAAGATATTAAAATTTTTTAAAGCCTTGAAATTACAAAGTGGTAATTTCAAGACATTTTTGTGCTTTGACGTTTAAGGCCCGGCATTTACCCTACCATTCCATCTTCCACCACATTCTACGCTTCACAGAGAATTTCTGTATAAAAAAAAATGTCAAAACCTTTTCCTTTTTCTCTATATAACTTCATACACACCGTTCAGTTTTCCTTCCCCTTTTCCTTTCCTTTCTCTCAGTTTTCCTTTTCTTGCCCAAACAAAATATTTTTCCTTCCCGATTTATTCCTGCAATTCTTGCATTCGCAATTCACCGCACATTTCATTCCCCTTTCTGCTTCACCTTTTATTTGAACTTCTGTTCTGTCTTTATATATGCATTAAGAACATCATAATTCTTTCACAGTTTAAGCTCATTCTTGTAAGAAATCACTTTTTTTTTTTGTTGAATTTCATCTGGGTTTTCATTCCTGATGGATAGAGTGATTTCTGAAAACTGGAATTCGCCACCGCAGTTTGAAACCAATTGGAATGGAATGAATTGCAATGCGGAGCAATCTTTTCTTGACCCCAATTGGGACAAGACTTGTACAGATCAATTTACTCATTTTGAGCCAGTTTTAAGCTCAAATTCAAGCTTTTCAAATGATTTTCCCCTCCGTGAGTTGATTGGAAAATTGGGTATTGGGAACTCCAGCGGGTTTCCGCCTACTGTAACAACCGCCACCCCTTCCATGGCGGCGGCTACTAATGATAATAGTACCAACAATTCTTGCTTCAGTACGCCCTTAAAGTCTCCCCCTAAGCTGCATTTTCCAATTCTTGATCAAATTAACACGCGTCATTTGGGGAATTCACTGCCTCCGACTCCTCCTCTGCCAACACTTTCTGGTGATCCAGGTTTCGCGGAGAGGGCGGCCAAGTTTTCGTGCTTTGGCAGCCGGAGTTTCAATGGAAGGACAAGTCCATTAGACTCAAACAATGCTATGGGGAGTGGGAATTTAACCCGGGTTTTGAGCACTCCCTCTCTTAAGCAAGTTGGATCTCCAGTGGAAAACAAGAATTTGAATCAATCACAGATGGAAATTAGGTCTCTCAACGGGATGGTTGATAAGAAATGGAGAAAATTATCTGGGGCAGGTGCCAATTCCAATGAGGAATCCTCTGTTTCTGAGCAAATCCCAAGTGGAGAAATAGGTTTAAAAACCCCAAGTGAACTGAATTCGAGGAAAAGGAAAGCTGTTTCTAAAGGAAAGCCCAAGGAAGATACATCAACTTCAGCTAAGGTATAGATATTTTGTCGAATTTGTCACAATCAATTGAAGTGTGAAATAATTGAAAACGCGGTAATTATAGAACAAGTTTTTCATTTCAGGGATATGAAGATGACAACTATGCAAAAACCAAGCGATCAAAGCCCCAAGAAATTAGCAAAAATGAAAATGATGATGCTAAAACAGAGGAGGAAGCTAAGGAGAATTCTAATGGTTCCGAGGATGAAAATGAGAAACAAAAGGGTAATCAAAAGCCCCCCGAGCCACCAAAGGATTACATTCATGTTAGAGCAAGAAGGGGTCAAGCCACTGACAGCCATAGTTTAGCTGAACGAGTATGCATTTTAGACAAGTTCTTCAATGATTCATTGCATCATTTAATAAAATCTCCATAGTGTAATGGTAGTTGATAAGATCAGATTCCCTGGTAGACATACTTAGCCGGACCCACAATTATTCAGAACAATGCTTAGTTTCTTGTCGATCACTTTGTCGTGACTTCATTGTTCTTTGATTTAGGTTCGACGAGAAAAAATCAGCGAAAGAATGAAGCTTCTTCAGGATCTCGTACCAGGCTGCAATAAGGTTTGCAGCATTGCTTGCTAAATTTAAATGTTTTATTTGTTAAATTACTATATCAAGTACATCAGTAAATATTCCTTCAAAAATTTCTTGTTTTAGGTGACTGGAAAGGCTCTAATGCTTGATGAAATCATTAACTATGTTCAGTCATTGCAACGCCAAGTTGAGGTAGACTAGAATCCATTAAAAAAGCTGGTACTGTAAGGTTTTTGTTTTAGATTTTAACTTTGGTTGGATTAATGGTGTTTCGTACTAAACTTTCTGCAGTTCCTGTCTATGAAATTAGCCTCAATAAATCCAAGACTGGATTTTGAAATGGAAAATCTTCTCTCCAAGGACGTGAGTAAATTTTACCTTGATGTATATATTTTTCTTTTTTCAAATGTTTGGAGTATTGTTCGAGTAGATCTAGTAAAGAACCGAACGGAGTCGAGAGAAGAGATTCATTTAGCCGAACCCAAAGTTTATTGTTGTTCAAATATTTGGAATTTCTGAAATATGATTTGTTTGGTGCCCATTCAGATGTTTCAAGAAAATGGAAACCTGTCCCAACCTATGTACCCTTTGGATTCCTCAGCACCAGCATTCTACAATCATCAACTCCAGCAGAATGTACAACTACATGATGCCAATATTTCCAGGGGTCCATTGAACATTGATTCAATGGACCCTTTAGATGCCCACAACCTAGGCATTCAATTGTCTTCAGTTGATGGATTTGGTGAAAGTCTTTCTCAGGTAATCAATAGTTCCAACAACTCAAAAAATGTTGTTCACTATACTGTTGAGTACTATGTATCGAACATACACCATAAATTATGCAGAAATACAAATTTACATAATCTGATATTTGTATCAACCTCATTTTTTCCAGTTTCCAGCATTCAGTGGCCATGATTTGCAAAGCATTGTTCAGATGGGTTTTGGCCAGGATCCTGTCAAAGAGAATGCATTTCGTTCAGATAACTTTCATGGTAAAGACGAGACATAATCAGAAAAACATTACAGCGGATTAAATACTGTTTAGGATTATCAGAAAATGTTGTTTCCTCTGTTTTAAAAATTGTCACTTATATGTACTTGGTTTATGCAGTTCCAAATCAAACAGCCCAAACGAAAGTTGAGCTGTGATCACCATTTGTTTATGCTCTACTGGATGCCCGAAAGGAGAAAGAGGCTGTGTAAATACAAAGAGAATTTAGTACAAGATGTTCGATGAAATGCTAATTCGAGAAAAAAATTATTTTTTTCTGTCCTTCGCATTTTATTTTGATATTGTAATTGATGAATTCACGTTTCCAATTTTTTATGGGTGCTTTTTCAATTAGCCACTGTATAATCCTAGAAGCATATGCTTATTTCTGGTGCAAAGTCTTAACAGCACCATATATGTACTCTTATGTAATGTAAGATATTCTTAATGGAAATGAGAACTGATCTTTCCATGGACATTCTTTGTTTAGCAATCGACGTCGCACTTATTGGCTTGTTTGATGGTTTAAACTAAACAGGATTAAAGAAGGAAAATATATTGTATAATACTGTCTAGTCTATCATATCGTTTACGTCAAATCTTGAAGATGCAGTGCAATCTTTCTCAAGATTTTCACGCTGCTGGGCCAATTTCAAGTGTTAAAATCGCGTTTTCTGGTGGTTATGGCTTATGATAGTTACTTATGTTGTAACCAGCTGTATAAGTGGGGCTCTTTTCTTTCAAAAGTCTTAATACAAATGATAAATTTGATTTAACTTTTGTTCTAGTCTATCATAATTTCAGGCACATTTTGTGGGCACCTGTGTAAGTATCAGAGACAAACCAGAAACTGAACCTTCTGTTCTTATTTTCACTCTACACAGAATAATCCAAAGGCTGGAACTTGGAACCAGTCATTTACAGCCTATACATACATATTTTTTATGTATATACATGAACAAAAAAGGAATCCCAGGTTGTCATTGGTGAGATTCTGACTAGACTCAATGAATTTTTAAGGGCTTTAAAAAATTAATTGTTAAATTTTATAAAACATAAAATGAACAGGAAAAGGTTAAGTAGTGGAGCATGAAAAGATGCCCCTAAGAGATTTATGAATTATTTGATGAGAGGTGGTTAGTGAAAAATCAAGTTTTTTGGGTGCATTTGCAGCCTTTGATTATTTTAATCAGGGCTCCATTATTGATCTTTATGATCAAAGTGACTTGATTATCTGAAAGATTCTTTGAAAATGATCTTTTGCATTAAAGAGTTAAACTACATATTATTGTATATTTGAACAGGTATAAGTGATTATAGACCTGTCTTGAATAAATATTAAAGAATGTCAATCATGCAATTAAATGTATCTGGCAATTTGTATTTAAAATTTCTTGACATTTTTGCCTGTTTAGCTGTGGAATGTTTCGCAATGGACGGGGTTAAAAAATGTCCAAATTTTATTTGTTATCGAGGAGTATCGTGTTTAGTACTATATAATAAACATGATGTTACTTTGTGAATAGTGATGTCCTATTGATTAGTATATCCATTAATCCTACAACTTTTTGAACAAATATACTAGAATTCTTTTGAAATTATTGGTCCCAACAAAATATTTTGTTTTTAGAAAAGAAAACAAGCCTAACTTATTTTAAAATATTTTTTTCTTGATAGATTCTNACTTTTCTCCACTTTAGTTTAGGAACAACCATCATCAATTACCAAGAACAATTTTTCGCACTATAGATTTCTAGGGGCGTCAATTGATTCGCGCATCCACAAACGTGAGTGGGTTATTTTTTTCATTTTTGCACTCACACTTAACATATGAAGTACGCTTATGTTGATACGAAGAAGGTACGAATTGCCTTATGTATATGAGTAACTCATTCATTCAGAATTCGAAAATAATAATTTTGATAGAAATAACATTATGATTAATAATCATGATCGAAATTTAAATTTTTTCTTTGGAGGGATAAAAACCCTCAAGTTTCCCCAAATCAAAACAAAACTTATGAGTGAAAGGACAAGAATATGAATCCATCCTAGTACCAAGACATGATGTTTATTTGAAACCAAAGGACATTGGTTGTTCATAGACATAATTAGTAACTTGTAATGTGAAATTGAGCATTATATATTGAGAAGCGGAAAACTCATTTGGGGAGTGAGGGTTGGGGGTAGATGTTGCTAGCCACCCCACCTTTACAAACATTGAATGATTATAGAAAATCATTTATAATAATGAGATGAATCCATTCTAAATATTGGATTCTCTAGGTAGAATGTCCCGTTTAAAATGGTACGAAAAGTGAGTAAGAGTTGAAAAAAGAAAATGAGAAAAATTTCACATGCTAATGAATGCATATGCATTTCGATTAAGGTCATTTATATGATTATGATTTTATGATGTCTAAAAGTAGAGTTTGCATAGATTTCGAGCGATTCCCTCGTGTGCCAAAAATATTAAAACCTAAATTATTTGAATAATATACTTACATTCTTTTCTTTCACCCAAAAAAAAAAAAAAAAAATTACAAAACCTCCAACCACAACTAAATTGACAAACGAGAATCGCGTAGAATCAACATGCTGTGACAACTCATATTGTAATCATGTTTGACAAATATGCTTATGACTACTTATAAGTCACGAGTACCACACAATCGTGTAGTTAAAAATTGTCCTACACAATAAGCCGAATAAGTAGCTAAGGAGAGACTTGTGTGGCTTATTGGCAAACCACAAATGTTGTGTTTGCCAAACGTACCCTAACTTACGGATTTTTACAATTTCTTGACAACTTTTGCAATTCCCTAAAATTGGTCTCGATAGTTTTGCTCATTCATTCCTTCAGAGTTTTATAATTATTTCGTTTCTTATGTACTTTTAGTTAGATGGGAGCCCATTTATTGCAGATTGAATGGAAAATTCATGTGAATTTATTGAAGGGACATGTAGACAGCAACATTCTTCAGAAAAGCGAAGCACATTCCACGTACTATGGTGGTTTTGAAATAAATACCATTTCCATTACTAGTAACTTCAAAAAAATCCAAGCACATTTCTCGGACCAGATATTCTATAAAGATTAGTAGAATCAATTATTGGATTCTGAATAGTACTTACATGTTCACTACGCAGCTATGAAGAACTGTTCAAAATCTGTGTAGTATAATTTGCTGGATCAACCGGTCGAAACCTAGGAAGTAGTACATGAAAGCATCGATAATCGCCTTCGCCTTCACGTTCGACTGAGTCGAGGGCAACCAACATACTAATAAATAGGGAACTTTGGATCGACGTCATGAGCCCACGACTCGAGGCCACCAATAATATCTTTCGCTGTAGTAAAACCCATCTTGTGGAGGAATTCTACTGCCCTCTGCGAATCGTTGCCTCTTCTACAGATAACGTATAAAGAAGCACCTTCACTGGTATCAACACTCTTGTTCCCTCCCTCCTCCAGGGATGTGGAAATTTCGGATAACCTCCCTTCCAAATTTTCAAGAGGAATGTTAATCGAATTAGGAAGTGAAACAATCTTGAAGTGATGTGATGGTCGCACGTCGACCAATACATGCGCTTCGCCTTTCACGATTCTCTCGTTATACTCCTTACTCGTTATTCTAGCATCTTCTGAAAGCAGGTTTAACTTCAGTGGAGACTGCAACAGTTTCGAAAAGTCAAAGCACATTAAACCAAACGAGATTCGCCGTTCTTGCTTGTTTATATTAGCTTTTTCAATGACATGCAAAATATCGAATCAGCATATGGCCATTTCATCAAGAAACAGAGAATGATATATACAACAAAGATTTGTTTTTATGAAATTTCAGGCTCTGATGCAGAAAGAATTATTGGTGTGCCTGTCATATCAGTTAGCTTGAAATGCTTGCAGAAGTGTACAGGAATAATCCAAAAGAGGAAATACACACCGTGGATAATGGAGATTGGGTAAACTTTTCGTAATCAAAATTACGAAATTGCTGTGCTGTCATTATAGCATTTTCTCCACAGGCTTCACAATGCAATGATCTCCCTCTAATTTTGACCTAAGGAATATAATAGCACCAAATCATTACCATAGAAGATGGAAAAAAATGCCTGACGAACCTTCAAATTAACGAACACGATGAAAATGTGAGAGACAATGGAGATAAGCTACAAACTGTTCTTCGTTAGTTAGCTTACAGATCATGTCATAGACATCTAATTATCCTACCAAACTCCATATTCATATATTGACATATCCCAGTACCAAAATTGATGGAGCACAATGCTTTGCTTTACAGTTATCTTAAATAGCAAAAAGCCTGAAAATCATTAAGAAACTATCTGCTCCTTTTGCTAAAAGTCGAGTCCAATGTTTATTTAAAAAACTGAAGGAAATATAGACGAAATGAACATAGAACATACTACACGAATTTGGGTCGAAAGTGCATCAAAGAGAAGCATTCTCCTTGAAAGTGGCTCCCCAACAGCAGTGGCAACCTTTATAGCTTCCAACGCTTGAAGACATCCAATAACACCAGGAACTGTAGGACGAAACAAGAATTCAAATACAAAATGAATGTTAGCTTGCAGGATCAAATAAAAGCTGAACTTACACAACTACAGATATTTAGTCCTTAAACAGTTGCCAACTCTATGACACAGTAGATTCTGCAACCAGTTTTGTCTTTGGTTGCATTTCTATACCAAAGAGGTAGAAATCGATGAACTATCTATTACACATACTGTTAGAGAATTGACCACCACTTTAAATTAAGTGAAACCATTCATGCTCCATTTACCTACTCCTAGAACTCCACTGTCTGCACATCTTTGACACGCTGTTGTAGGTGGCGGAGTTGGAAATAAGCATCGATAGCATGGACCTCCATTGTAATTGTAAACTGTGAGCTGCACCAAAAAAAAAAAAAAAAAGATTGAAGATGTAATAAATAACAGATATGGAAACATAAATGAAACTATGTTAAATTATACTGGGATTCTGGGTAATGGATAAGATTTTGTTGTTAACAAGGGGTAATATGTTGTATTAACTGTACCTGCCCTTCAAGTCCGAGTGCAGCTCCAGATATTAGAGGCTAAAAGCACAAATAAGTGAATGATCAATAAAATGCAAAACCTTCACCAAGAAAAAAAAGATGTAACATGATGTCAATCACCACAAGGTATTTTGTGTAACACACACACACACACACACACAAAAAGAACACTTTGGAATGCAATGTTGTGCACTTGAAAATTTGTGTTCAATTCCATAGACAGTTCATTATTACTCTATTCTTCTAATTTTTATGGCACTCATATCTGTTATTAGGAAAATTTGATCTTGTTTTTCCTTAATCAGTTTTGTTGCCTAATGTTCTATTCCAAGATTGTAACTTATCAGATTTTATTCTTAGTGAGAAGTTAGATTAATAGTATGTATTTTCTTTTAAATGACTATGGTCTCATTCTCAATATTTTTTACCCTAAGAAATATAGTCCGACCCAAAAAAACTAGAGCATAAATAGGCTCCTCTCCTTTCCACTTGGACAAGGAAATTATTTATCACTACAACACTACTACTACTCAATACATGATTTTAGGTGTGTTTCCTGGTTGAAAGTTCGTTGATATTTTCCGACATGCAGACCAATATGTTAAGTGCATGGATTTTCATAGAAGTGTGTGTGTGTGTGTGTAAGATCGTTTTTCTGACAAAAGAGAAGTAAACAATTTACCTTTCCCAACACAACACAGCAATCATTTATCATATAGCGACTAGGGGCGTTGTCTGTTGCATCTACGACTATGTCATACCTTTTAAATCATAAATTAGAAAATTAGAAAAAAGTTAATCTCTGCTGGACACTATAAATAAGTGATGTAAAAAACTCTTAAGAGATAAAATAGATAGGAAATCGCATAACTATACTTGCTCATAATCTCCAAAGCATTGGATGTACAGAATGCTTCCTTGTGCTCCACTATTTGAACAGTAGAGTTAATCCTAAAGACATAAGCGAGGTCAAAGGTAAAATAAATGGCATTTAATTGCAGTAAAATGATAACACAGAACAGTGCCATACGCACGACAAGCAGCAGCTGCAGACTCTACTTTTGACCATCCAATATATGCTTCAGTATGGATTATCTGAAAAACAAAAGTTGCCGAAATCAATAGATGGAGCTTCATAATGACCCAAATCACCTATCCAATATTTCTCAGTTGAAGAAAATGAAAAAACTGACTCTCGAGGGCAAATAAAAAATGTTTTAACATTACTATGTTGCAGTGCGTTACAATATGAAGTCTGTACTTTGCTCTAGCAGAACAACATTTCAGTGGGATTATCAGTTTTTAAGCGACAGCTCAGATCATCCAAAAGGTAAAAACAAAGGAAAAGAAAATGCTATTGCCACATTTTATTCATCCTTTAGAATAACTGAACCCATAATTTCAATAAACAGCCTACAAAAATCAGTACAATAACTTGTATTCATCACTTTCATGACAACTTAATCCCACTTTTGCCCCTTCGCCCCCATAAAAATAAAGAAAAAGAAAATAAAGCTAAAAAACAAAGAGGATGTTACCTTTACCTTCTAAGCTAAACAGTTAAGTTCCAATTATCTTAAAGTCCTCATGATTATGTGAAAATTGGAAAATCACAGTTTCTCTCCATAGCATCTTATTTCTAAAACATGGAAACCAGTGACATTACCACAAATATTAACCAGATTTAGGATTCCTATTTCCCCTTTTACCTGCCTTTGCAGATTGTTAAGTTCCACCACATCGTGATCAACAATACCCATACGACCTGCAAATATTTTACAAATCAATACATTAATTAATCCACTCCACAAGAGCGCAAACATAAAGAAAACAAGCATAATATAAGGTAGATCAGACAGTACTCAAAGTAAGGGGAAAACTAAAATCTTGTCCATCGTTAATGAGCGGAATTAAACGCACTACAACTACGTACCAACACCACAAGCTGCAAGATACAGCAGAGCAGGTGAACCCAACCCTCCAGCTCCAATAACCAACACCGAAGACTTCAACAAATTGGCCTGCGCTTCAACTCCAAAAGAAGGAAGCAACAAATGCCGGCTGTATCTATAGACCATATCGGCTGACAATTGGCCATTGGAAGATAACCCAGTTGAGGGTGAATAGCTGGAATCAGTTACCTGTTCTTTTCTCACACCATTAGAATTTGAACTATTAAGTTGTGCCCGAAGAGCAGAGATTCGAAGATCAATTTGGGACTTTTTGGCCTCTAAAGATTCGATTTCACTTTTGATTTTGGATGCCTCGTTCACCATTACACCGTTGCCGTTGGCCTCCATGAATGTACAGACAATGGAAACTTGCTCAGGTAATCTATGACAGTACGAAAAACAGAGTGAGGTCTGAAGAGTTGCAATATTGAGTTGATTGAAGTGAATAACTGAATATTTGTGAAATCTAGTGTCACATCATGTTTGAATGAACTTAAAATGTTTACTTACAGTAAATAAATTGTCAGTTTTAAGTTTTAACTGAAAATAGACAAGTTACTTAAAAATATGAATTTGGGTCAATTCTATTTAACTATGTCCGTTTGGACTTAGACCCATATCAATGGAAAACAATGACCTGCTTTTTTCTTTTTTTGCCCTCTATAGATTTTTGTGGGGCCTGCTTATCAATAAAAATTTCTGGCCTGCTTCGTTCTAGACTGGGAAATCATGAATTTTATACAAATCAAGTAAGAATGTGCAAGCTGTGTTCCAACATTACAAAAACATATACAACGAATAGAAGGATGTGATTTTGGTGAATTCCATGGAAAAAAGGTGTCCTACTTACGCTATGCATTGACAAAAGACCAGAAACATAGAGCTTCAGATGTTGTATCTTTACAGCCCCTCTGTTAAATAATTTATCATTCCAAATATATCATAATCATAAGCCCAAACCAAACTATTTTTCCCATCACTACAAGCTTCGAGCTTTAGTCATTCAATTCTGATTTTTGAACGAAATAAGCTTCATTCTTCATTTACTTGGAATAACTCCATATATTTCTATCAAAATTTAGTCCTACTACACTGCCAAAACATTTAGTGTAGCAACATTCAAACCTAGAGCCAAGGCCGGCCTCGAGAATTTCAAGGCCTAGGCAACTAATTACTACGAGGCCCTTATGTTTTGCTATTTCTTTTGTAAGTGTTATTCTCGATTTTAGTTTTCCAGTTACTGTTTTTATAGCTTCACGATGCTCCAAGTTAATGCTAAATATTATATCTCATAGAATTATTATAGCATCATACATGAACAGGCAAACAACAAGTGTGAATGCATCTTTTAAAAGATTAATTCGAAATTTTTCGATTCGAACAAGACAACGCAAACCTCGAATGCAAACGGATCTAAATTTTCCTCATCTAAGCTCCATTATTTTCTCAAGTTTTAATTGATTTGGAACTAGTAATACCATTTTCAACTCTCTTTTTTTTTTTTCAGACTTTTTCAACCCAAAACCAAAAGTTCACAAATTATGAAGATTCAAGAACATAATATCTCGTCAAAAAAAAATATATATTGAAAAAATAAACACAACAACAATATAAAATTTTACCTTGGCTTAGTTTTCTGAGATTTTTGGAAGTCTTATTCAGAATCAAGAATTTCTTGTGTGAATAAAGGACCCGATCGAGTTTTTCTAAGTAACGATAAATGCAACAATAGTGTGGGAATTAATAGATTTTCTGGTGGAGATTACGAGAGAAATCGGGGACACTGCCTCTTCCGTCCTCTTTCTGTAACCTAAGGAAAACAAAAGATTCTTCAAGAGATTTGGCGGGTTTTAGATTGGGGAGAGTTTTGAGCCGATTTTGTATGAGGCCCCTGGCTAAAGCAGATAGCTTGGAGATTGAAGAAGATGAAGGGTTTGATAAATTGCCAAATTACCTCGGGTCCTAGGCTAGAGAGGAAGAGAGAGATGGCGAGAGAAACAGTTAACAAGAACTTCGACGGCGAGAGAGGAAGACACGGCAGCATAAGCGAGGGCTAGGGTTCTTTAGTAAGTCAAGAAAGTGAAATTAGGATTGACTGAAATTTTGTGATTTTTTTGCTTTGATCGTGTGTTTTCATTTTTTATTTTAGTTTAAAAGTTAAGCCCTGTTTGTTAGAGAGTTCTTTCTCATATCTTTCATAATTTACTCGCATTCTCTTGAAATAAATTACTTTAATTAATTAAATTAACAAATTACAATTGTAATGAAATCATACCGACTTAGTTGCAATTCGAAATAGATAAAATTTTATTTTGTTTACTTGAAAGCCAACACAATTGCTTCAATGATCCAATATTTGGGTAATTTGCCCGCTCCAAATGGTGTCCTCAAATTCTTTTATGTATTTCACTTTTTTTTTTTAGTTCATCATATTTAAAAACATAATAATTAAAAAAATTATAAAACAGGCACGAACATGTAATCCATAATCAGAAGAGATGTTCCGAGGATACCAGAACATAGGTCAGCAGTTTGGCAAACTCAATACAATTGTTTCAAGAATGCTAAATACCGTGTAGTTTCGAAAATAGAAAGAGACCAGTGAGCAAATTATAAAAGTTGAATAGCACTCATGCCGCCTTGCTATTAACACTCGATAGGTTCTGCTTCCTTATGTGCCGTTTTCTGTTTTCTGCACCATTTATGCGAACATATGTAAGAAGGTATTCTCAACTGAACCAGACCTCAGAATTTGGAAAATGGAAATGCCACTAGAGCTTAACATTAGATTCAAATGGCTGCATCTTGTTCATCTTAGCAAATATGTTCCCGTAAAATTGGGCATCCTTCTTATTGAACTCCTTCTCCTTCTGCTTGAGAGCTTTGTACTCCAGCTTCACATCCCTATTTCCATTACAGAATGAAGACCTTATAACCAGATATTCAACAGTCGAAGAGAAAAAGAGAGGTAGAGAGAGTTCTGCAGTCACCTGTTGTCAGGGTCGATTTCGAGAGCTTTCTTAATATCAAATTTGGCCAAATCCAGATCGGCCATGTTCGTGTATGCTTGAGCCCTTCTGTAAAGTGCCTTCACGTTTGTACTCTCGAGTTCCAACACCTTCACACACTTTCCTCATTAAACAAATGAAATCCATTATTTGAAAAGGCAATTAAAAGAAACCAATTATCCAGCTGAGCAAACCTTTGTACACAGCTTCTCTGCCTGCTTATAATCTTTCAGTTTCAATTTGCTAGCTGCATTGTTCAGGTTGCAAGTGATCTTCAGTGCTTTGGACTGTTTCTTTTCCTCCTCACTGAAAGAGGTGTCATACTCAATGTACTTGGCAGCCTGAGTTCAAAATCCCCCATGTGAGGCACGACTTAAAGATACATACCAAATACTACTTTGCTATCAAATCAAATGGAGTCAGAATCTCTTGGGAATTATTACCTTTTCATATCTCTTTGAGGCTCTCACATATTTCCCGGCCTTGAACAGCACGTTGCCTTCTTCCTTTTTCTTACCGGCAGCCTCAATCTTTTCTTGGGTGTTCATATCCCAAGATTCCTTTTCCTAAAAGGATGCCAAAAATTGTTGGGAAAGCAATCCCAGCGCTGAGGATGAAATTGGAAATTACACTCCAATATAACATACTGACCTTTTCAAATGAGATAAGCTCGATATCATAGTACAAAGTTGAGTTTGGAGGAACAACAGCCAACTCTTGTTGCGACTCGGATGAACCAAAAGCATACTCAGGTGTAATTGTCACTAGTGCTACCTCTCCCTTCTTCATTGCCATTACAGCCCTGTCCAACCCCTCTATGACTTGCTCTGTTCAAAAATGCACATAGATTAAAAACAAGTACATTCATATATGGAGAAATGATCTCCTAAGCACCGTTGCTTAACAAAAACTAAGCAACAGCGACGTGACACATCAATTAAATGGTGGATCATTTATTTCAACCTACTGAGAACTTATTCTCCAATTAACTGATGTACAATGTCAACAGCATATAGGATACCATTTCTATTCATATCTATTACATGAAGATTAAAGTCATAAGCTCCAATATGAATACCTTCATCTGTCTTGAATTCAAAAAGATCGTCTTCCTTTTCCCCATGACCTTTCTTAATGAAGACAGTACCATCTTCTAGCTTTCCAATCAATTTCACTAGCAGGTCCATATAAAAAGACACCATTAGACAGACATGGTTTACAGATAGGAGCAGCAAAACTCACTAAGACATAATAAGATGCCTACATTTCACAACAGCTCCTTCATTTGGGCGGTCATATCCCTCCCCTTCTTTCAATGTCTTCTTAACAACTTTCTTGTCATCTGTGACATTGGAAACTGTCTTCCATGATTCCAGCTCCAGAGTGATGTTCAATGTCGCATTTGGTGGGACAGCTCCAGCACCATCAGAGGCTGGTTTGCCCTTCTCGCCAAATGCATCTGCCATAGAAAAAGAACATATAGACTTCAACCTCTGCCTCAGTTATTTGATTTCACATTTCAGAGTTTAACAAATTGCAAAATTGGTTCTTACATTGTGGCTTGACTGTGAGGAGGACCTTTTCACCCTTCTTCATCGTCTTAACAGCCTTGGCGAGAGCAGGACAAAAGTGACCTAAATACAAATGGTTATGTTCAAAAACAGAGAGACACAGCTGCTACATGACCAAAAAATTCAAAGTTTACCCTCTCCAACAGTGAATTCAGTTCTGTCTGATTTCGCAATTACAGTACCATCTTCCAATTGAGCCTCATATTTGACTGGAAGGCAAAATAAAGTACAGTTAATGACATAATGAATCATTGCCTAACCAACTTTGAAGAGAGTGATTCACGTACCAAGCACTTCATCAAGATCCTTAGGATTCTCCCATTTCTCTCCCTCTGTGAGAATCTTTTTGAATAGTCCACCATCCTTGCAGATGTCTTTTATACTGACCCAGGTCAGCAATTCAACATCAAACTGTAGAGTGGCATTTGGAGGAATAGTAGGAGGAGAACCAGATTCACCATATGCCAACTCAGGAGGTATGGTGAAAATGGCATTTTCACCCTTCTTCATTGTTTTGATTCCTAGGTCCCATCCCTTGATTACTTGCCCTGCAACAAGACAGAATAGTGTATGCATCTACAATATGTATTTTAGGAAAATGAAACATTAAACATGCACCTCTTCATCTTCCAATAATTTCATCATAAAATCCACCAAAGACATCGCAATCTGGAGAAATAAAGTGCTAGATTGCACCCCAACGGTTTTATTTTCATCTCTCTTACTTGTCGGATGTGAAGTGTTAAAAAATAATTATGAGAGCACCCAAGATAGCTACTTGCCCTTTTTATCATAATTGGAACAGAGAGATAAAATCAGATCACGCTGCTGGACATGAATTCAAGAACACGTATACATTTCTTTAAAAGAAAAACAAGAACACGCATACTCAATATAACCAAACAGTCAAACACAGTTTACCATTTTGACAACAAAAAGAAAAAAGATAGTGGGACCCAGTTAAGTCTTCGTTTTCTGCTTAGTCCACCCCCTCAGTCATTCTAGCACATCAGGGTCCATCCATGTACTATTGATACTAGATTTGCACAAGCTCCATAAAATAACAAACATGCACAACACCCTTATTCTGGATTACCTTAAAAAGCGCCAAATGGTTATGCATTTCACAGAAGTGATAACAGTTCTTTACAAGAAAACATCTTTTGCATTTTGCAGGTTAATCTTATTTGAAAATAAATACAAAAGTAGTACTACTAACTTCTAGCATTAAAACCTCGAAAGCCAAAAACACAAGGTCCAGTCAGTACAAGAGTATTAGAGATATCATAATTCACACAAAAAAACAAGCATCTGTAACACGAAATATTAATTTAAAAAAAATTCCACCTCATATTTCAATTTTTCTTCAGCAAATGAAAATATATCATAACCTAAAATCCTCGTACCTTGGCCAAGAGTGAACTTGAATGGCGTTTCCCTGTCACGACTTGAGTCAAACTTAGTACCATCTAGCAGGGTTCCAGTATAATGAACTGAAAAATTCCCACAATACAATCAATTAACAAATATAATCAATTACACAGCATAATCAAATAATTAGCAAAGGATTGTGCAAATTACTGATTTACCTTCAACTTCGTCTCCATTATCGGGGGTATCCCAGCCTTCCCCTTCCTTGACAAGCTTCTTCTTCAATCCTTCATTTCCGATCTCCTTTTCCTCCCCAACCTTCATGTAGGAACTAGCTTCCGGCATATCCATGTCATCCATCCCCTCTGGTGGCGGCATCTCGAAATCTTCATCCATCTTTTTTTCTAAAACGTGATGAGAAAAGCTTCTTAAGACCAGAAATCAAGACAACAAAGTTTCCAATAATAATGAGAGAAAATGGAGACTGTAGAGAGTCGTACGAGGGTTTACTCAGTGAGTGTGGATCACCTGAGGGTTTCGAAGCTTCCAGAATAACATTTTTTATTGAATTCCTTTTTTTTTTCACAAATTTATTAACTTTTACGGAACTGTTAATTGTAGAATGAGAGGTGCTTCCAATGGACCACTAATAAAAGCTATTTTGGAAATTTTAAAATTAAATTAAATTTGTTATTTGGAAAAGAATTAAAGAAAAAACGTAGTACTAAATAATTAATAGGGAGGACAATTTACCAAAAAAAATTGGTGACCAACGATGCCTCAACTATGCCGGGGGAATATGATTTATAGGTGGGAGACACCCCTTCCCATCCAGTCTTTAGCGTCCCGGGAAACATTTTCTAGGCGAGATGCCCCTTTCCATCCAATCTTAAGTGTAGATCAGGATGGAGACGAGGATGGGACAAGCCCCATCCACGACTCAATCCCTATTATTGTTCGACTAAAAGTCGAGCTTTTGTTAGGAACTCACTTTATATTAAGAGCTCGTTTGGAAATACTTTTATTATTACTTCTGCTCCCAATAGAAAGATTTTCTGCTAAATTTTTTGCAGAAAAAATTATTTAAGCATGTTTAAAAGCAAACTCAGTCTTGAAAACAGTTTTTAACTTCTTAAAAATCCTGTCAAATGATTCTAACTATCAAGTAAATAAATACAAAGTTTACATATCCAAGCGATACCTTCATGCAGTAATTATTACAAGTTAGGTGACTTTTTTTGTTCCAAAACAACATTCACAGCATCCTCAGAAGGACAAAAGAACCAACGTAGTCCACTTTATGAAGATTTTCAAAATGAGAATCAGGAACTCCTTCAATAAACAAATAGTTTAATCTAAGCGACAATGCTGTTCATTTTCAGCCTTGTGAAATAACAAAATAACCCAACAAAATACCCCGTCTACTGTTACTAGATAAACTAAAACCCAAGAACTCTCAAGAAGGCTACCAGGAACAACAGAAAGAACTCTTTTAAGTTACAGTTCACTGTCATTTGATTTCCCATTGGATGTTTTTCCATTGACTCCTACCAGCTCAGTGTCAAAGATAAGTGTAGCACCCCCTGAAATAGTTAAGAAAATAGATATTATGCCAAATATGAAACCTCAGGTTCAGATCATATAAGAGAAACGAAAGAAGGTGACTGAACTTTTAACATTCTAAATGGTAAAATTTGGGCTAAACAAATTTAGCAGAAGTAAAACGATAGCATGACATCTGGCATTCAGTATCAGTGTTTTGTCTCATTTGATAATCGTCATCTCACTTACGGGTAGCAAACTCAAAAGCAGGAAACTGGCTTGCGTTACAGTAAAAGAATATATAAGCAACTAAACTAACAAAGTTGAGCGCATAATATAGCTCCTTATAGTCTACCATATATGCATAGCAAGAAGAATGAGAACAGAATTTTGAGTTGATTACCTGGGATGGTAGGAGGCGACCCCTGATCCCCATAACCAAGTTTTGAAGGAATTTTCAACTTCCTCTTCTCTCCTAAGCACATTCCTAGCAGCCCTTGGTCCCATCCTGCAATATAGCAATTTGATTTAATAAAAGAAACATCAGTGGAAGTTATTCAAATTGTCACACAAGTATCAAGATATTGTAATAATTAAGAGGCAATTTTGTGGTCACGGCTTGGGCTCTGGAGCATTTGGCTTGATTTACAATAGCAGCCAGGCCCAGATTCCCCAACTTCAAATTGGGCTGGAACAGTACTACCCAAAGGCAGTACCAAGTGCTAGCATATGTGCTGTTTGGCCAATCTTAGTCAGATGCAAAATCAGTACCCAACTTGACTTGGAATTCAACAAGATTTGGAGCCCGTTTGATACAGATTAAAATCCAATTAAAATTGAAAATATAGCCGTTATTAGGCCCCACTCGTCTAATAAAAGTCAACAATAACGACAAGTTTTTTAATTTTAATTCGATTTTAATCTCTATCAAACGGGCTCTTGAATGAACACATGATGGCTCTCCTCTAATAGCTTAAACTTTTATATGAGATGATTATGACAGTATCAGAGACAAATAAACACGTGGTTAGTCCGCAGTCAGTCATTTATGAAAGTTTTGCTCATTTTTTAATCAAACTGTGAGGAGGTGTGTTAGAGACAAGATTTTAAATGAATAGATGAGGGCCACCTCTAATAGCTTAAGCTTTAGATGAGACGTTCGACATCATCCACTGTTGCTTTCTTACAGCTTTCAATAGATTTTTATATATTCAGAAACTAAAGGACTGATATTAAAGTTCTATTCCATGTATCATCTGCTATCCTCATGTCTGAATTCTACACAGGCATGAATAACAATATGTACTTGAATAGATAAAAAGGGCCTAATGTCAAGAGAGCAATAAGGTTATCAATTTGTTCGGAAGATGTGCTTTTATAAGGCTACCAAATGTCAACAGCGCAATAAGGTTTACCAATTTGTTTGAAAGATGTGCTTTTACACAAAGAACATCAAATCCCAAGAAAGAGATCAGTGAATTGAGCTTTCTTCATGTTTTATTTACTCGCTGGATAGCATAAAAGGATGAACAACTACAACAGTAAGAATGACACAATATGATAATAGGTATTAACCTTTAATCACTTGACCACCACCAAGCTCAAATTCAATAGGATCACCCCTTTCAAAGCTGGAATCAAAAACAGTTCCATCTGTAAGCTTTCCCTGCAGATTGCACCCACATCAGTGAAGTAAAAGAGAAAATCATAATTGAAAACTTTTCTGTGATAAAATATCCAAATCCTATTGAGTGAATTATAGACAATTCAAATGCCCAGATATGGGAAAAAACTTATACATTTTGAAAGTAACATCAAGAGATTATGATCTATTTATCCACGTCAGAAGAGGAAAACACACTCTCTCTGTTATATGGATACTTGGTATGATTTCTGCAATCAACTACTAAAAAATTAATTTTGAGTCGTTTCTTGGCCAAATATATTCACCAGCATTAACTGTTAGATTAAGCCCTTATTTGGGCTCCATTTTAATGAGGTTTTGGGAAAAATGTATTTTGGAATAATAATTTTTTTTTTTTGGAGGAAGTGTGGTTAAAAAGTAATAAAAAGTTTTGGGTTCATATGCAATATTATTTTATTGAAGAATGTGTGATTGAAAATCAAGAAATACAAAAATGCATTAAATTAAAATGGAGCCCAAACAGGGGCTAAGTGTTCCAAATCTGAGAACATATCAGCACTAATTTATCATCATATGCAGTTTGCATCACCCACCTTCTCAAGAACTTTTATAACACAACAAAGTTACACTCTTGCATTGGGAGTAAGGAACCAATTCCTATTTTTCTTTTAACTTAACAATGGCATGAGTATTCAATCACTCGCTATTTTAAGATATACTTAAAAGCACATTTCCAAAAAACACTTGAAGGCAGAATAATGGAGATGAATATGATCCATAACAGCCTTGAATTGATATATCTAATTACTAGAGATAACTTCCTCTAAGATAAAGCAATGAAGAGTAGATAAGACGAAAATATTATATTGATTTCTCTGTGATTTCGGGAAAGGAGCATTACAAAAGAAACTTAATTCTACTCACCCTATAGTGTACTTTCACTTTGTCGCCCTTATGAGCCTGAACCTCACAAGTTGCAGGCTTATACTGCAGCACCAAATCAAGATTGTTATTTACAAGTGATGAGCAAAAAAAGGGACAGGGTGTTCTCAACAAATATTGAACCACTGATCTTTTCAAGAGTCATAGTGAAAGATAATACCAAAATGATGTAGAGGAAAGCATGTGTGAAACAGTAAAAACGAGAATATGTTAAAGCAATAAGAGATCATCTGCTCAAGTAGTAGAACATTTAATAAGACATTGGTCTGCTATCGAATCTTCCAGATTATCGAATCTTATCCCTCGTTGAGAAGTTCAAACCTCCAGAACTACTATGTGAGCCAGTATGGCTATTCTACTTAATGATAATTGTCCATGTGAAGAATGCTTTAGCATAGTATTAAGGCTAGGCTCTGGGCAATGATATTCACGTTAAATCAAGTTCCTGAGCGTTTCACCTTTTAATCATGTCAATATACAGCTATTCTAATTCTTGCTCGTGTTGCTTTGTATTACACATTATTCATGTTTTTGATATAGCTGCACAATCATTCTTCCTAGCTGTCCATATCCACGTATTATTAATGATGTATTATGAGTTTATTTTGCATTTTGATAATAGTCAAATGTTACACAAGCAAATCAAAACATCATTGTCTTGATCCTGAAAAGCATTGAACTAAAGCCCACGGTACATCTATATATAGTTATAAATGGACATTTTGAATTCAAATAGGTGAAAAACTGAAAATCAGTTGCTTCCAGTAAACCCTAAGGAAATGAATGTATACGTTTTAAACACTATTTACTCATAAAAGAACAGCCAACAGTTCTACCACGCTAAAGAATTGGGACTTGTCAAATTTCCGTATCATTTTCATATACCGCAATATAGACCAAAAAACTTAGAAGATCACACTTCGACAAAGCAAAACTCGTATAATTTACCTTCACACCGATCTGCAGCTCCGTCACATCCCCGGATTTCTTTGCCGCAACTAAACAAAACGAAAATTGAAAAGGCACATTATAATTTCATATTAAACATTGCAATTAGCTGATTCGGCTTAAACGACAATACTTATAAATTACTCAGATCTATAAAGAAAATAGTAGAAAATAAGTAATCAACAGCAGTAATTAATAAATTACAAAGCTAAATTACATCGAATTGAACTCAAATTTACCTAATGTAATAAATACCAAAAGGAGAAGAACGAGTTTCATTG